AACTAACAACTGATAAAACTTAAAATCTCTCTATTGGTATAAATGTATCTATTATTAACTACTATGCAATCGAGTATATATGATTTTTAGGCACTGAATAAGAAAAGTATAGATGACTCACAAATGAAGACGTAGCAACTGAAGGTAGCACACAAAAACCAAAAATAGAAAAAGAGATAAGAAAAAAGGCGAGAAAAAGTCAAACAAAGAAAAAGCCCACATAGGAATACCTCGCTAGCTTTAGGGACTCTCTGCCACAACAAACAACCTTCTTAAAAATCTAACACCCTGAGACATCAAACAAACCTCCCACGACAATTGCGCCTTCAGATCTCCGTGAACACAATACAATTGCGGAGAGGAGGCTGTCAACGGAATAAAAATTGTTAATTAAGTGAATCACCATACAACTAAACAAACGCACTCTTCTTGATTAGCTATCAAAATAGTGGGGGTCGCTACAATCCATCGGTTGCTCCCTCTGCGCCTAAGTTGTAGATATTAGGTTTCAGTGAGAACTTTGAGTACATGAGGAGATGACCCGGCGAGTAGAATAGGAAGATTTGGAGAGGCTGCGATGGGCAAAGCAGTTAAAATCGAGATTTATCGAAAACTGGGTTAAAATCAAAATCGTATAATCGAATCGTAAAATCGTAGGATTTTAAGTACCATATAGAACATAGCATATAAGAATATTAATAAGGTAAATTATTAATATCACAAAGACACATAGCATTTAAAATGATAATTCAGAAGATTTTTTTTCCATAAGATAATTCTCAAGATTAATGTTCCAAAATCACTATTTTAATTGTTATTTAATGTGTAACTCAAAATAATTCATGATGAAGGGATATAGTTCATGGGTTTGGCTCTTATTTTCATGTTATGTCTAGGTTGTTTAACTCAAAGTAATATTTCGACATCGTCTACTAAGTATGATTTAAAACTAAAAATAATTGAACTCCAATAAAATAAGTAATGTTAGTGGCTTGGTACAAATATATTCATTAATAAATTAATTAGTTAATAATGATGTTAGTTCTTACATACTTCCAATATTAGGACAGATGTTTTACCAATAAGTTAAATGGGGTGAAGGGAAAGAGATTAACCGAACCCTAATTTGGTTATTTTTATTATTTTTGAATATTTTTCTAATAGAAAAATATCTGAGAAGATTCCATTGCCCTTTCCGCTGAAACAGTTATACTTATTTTAAATTGGCTCAAACCACCTATTTTGTTCTCTTACGATCAAAATCCCGATTTCGGTACTATTTTACGACTTTAACGATTTTAGTCCCGATTTTAAACGATTTTAAGGTCCACCAATTTTATAGTAAAATCATGATCGGAATCCCTAAGTAAAATCCTAAAATCCTACGATTTTACGATCAAAATCCCGAATTTGACTGCATTGGCGATGGGTGCACGATTAGTGGGCCAAATAACAGTTTGGGCCCGTTTAAATGAAAACATATTTTTACTTTCGTGCTCAACAGACCGACCGCACTGACATCTTCTAAATTTACCCCTAAAAAATTGCTCTGTACGCATCAAATTTGAAATGGAATTCCTCTTTTCTCATTTCACATTTCACATTTATATGATGTGTAGATTGTGATGAGTGTAGATGTAGACCTGTCATTGTCCTACAAATTCATTAACACGCCAAAAAGTGGTGAAATGAGCCACCCTATTAAACACAATCTTGTATAATGATCATTGGATCCAATCATGCCAGATTATGAATAAGTTTAAAATGTAGCGGTTATTCCGACTAAAACATTAAAAGAACCAGTCTCATATAGTTTGCACAAAGATATAATTTCTCCATAGTAATTCTGAAAAATAATATTAATTTAAGAAGTCGATATTGCTTCTACATGTTTAATATTGCAATTCGATATGCAATATTCGAACCAGTGATATTTGGGCTGCAATTTTAGGGTTATTGTATATTTATAAAATAGATAGAAATTTAAATTAAGTATTAAACTACAACTAAAATAATCAAAGTATTAAAACACCAAATAAGTACTTACGGGAGATTCAGTGGCAAACTAATCGTTAAAAAAGTCATATGATTTTCATAATTTAGGTTCGTGTATGTTTGAATTTAAATAGATACAATAAATATACTTAGTGTGATTGGTTATGATCCTTGCTTGCCTTTAAAGAGACCAAGGTTCAAATCCCAGTGCATGCCTTTTTTATGAATAAATAAATAAGAAAATAAGCAATTGTGAAGACCAAAATGCCCTTCCTATAATCACTCTCGTTGCAGGAAATTTGAAATGGCGCAACAGTTTTCATCATTCGGCTTTTATTTATTATCTAGATATAAGTAGATGCATAATTCTAGGAATTTAGCGACGGATTTACAGTCTTTTAGTGACAGAATAAAAGTTGTCATCTAAAGACGGCCATGAATGTTTATATCGGGGAATTTAAATATTTGTAATAAGGCAATGAAAATAATATATGATTTACTTTAATAAGAAAAAGGTTATTTAAAGTTTTTAATTTATATTTTTAATTAGTGTTTTTTTAGCTACGTAAGGTCAGAATTTTAGGTTTGAAATGGAAAAGGAATTTTGAATTTTTTTGGAGGAATTTATGAGAATTTATTTAAGGTTTATTAAGTTCTTTGTAAGATTTGAGTTTTGAAAAATGTTTTGAAAATTCCGTATTTGAGAAAAGTATTTGAAAGAGGAAATTGAGCCATTTTTAAGGGATTTTTTTACAATATTTATGAAGATTTTGGTACTAAGTAATAACTAATAAGGAGAGGAAAACCCATATTAAAGGCGAATAGATTAAAGGAATAAGAAGGAACTGTTTTCGGTTATTAGGTTCAAGAGAGTCGCTAAATAGAGGAGCTATTTTTTGGTTTTCAGTTGTTAGCATCTAAAAAATTATGTCTTACATTTTGATACCTAAACTTTTTAAATTAACAAATTGGTCCAAGTTTATGAGGTTTTTTATATACTTTAAAAACTTGTTTGGTTTATGAGTTTCTTATATGTTTAATAAATTGAAACAGAGAAAGAGTATTCGCGAATCGACATCCAACAGTCAAGTCTAACAAGGTAGTCGTCGTCCACCTCTTTGCATGTTTTATGTCTACTGCTTGTCGCTCGTCATCGCTTGTAAACGGAAGAAGAGGATCTCAAATTCTCGTCGTCACTGGATCTCGACGACTACCAACTATAGTTCCAGCTCACGCCACTCGTCTCTCGACTCAACTTGACCCTCCACGACCACTAACTACCTCTTGTCTCGAATCTCGCTGATTACGGTGACAATAGCCACGAATCGCTCACGGTGATGATGGATCCCGCCTCGATCATTCTTTTGGTCTCCGTCGACAACTCCCTGGGCAGCTTTTCCAAGATGAGAGTAGTGATTGATCGATATTCGATAGTGATGAAAGAGGGAATCATGGATTGTGCGATCGGGGGTGATGAACTGCTCTCAATTGTTTGTTTTTTTTAATCCAATTTGTCTTCAAACGACAACGTGTTGGGAAGGGAATAAGCATATTCGATTTATGAGATTAAAATCGGACCGAACTCATTACAATCCGGTCACAGTTTAAACCTAATTCAATCAGATCTAACTTCCAGTTACATATTTGATATAATTAGCATTTGAAAAACTGGATAAAATCGATCCAGTCCGATCGAACCAGACCGTTTTCCAACCCTACCGGATATAGCTATGCTTACGAATGAAATGGAATTGCGATGTGGGAGCTTGTCTCGAGAGATTTGGCTAATGCCTAATTGTTTCTTTTTTTAAATTTGGTCTGTTTGAATAGTAAAATAAATAATAAATATTCTACAAAAAAAATAGTATAATAAATGGTTTAGAATTTATTTTTTAATTGTATTTAAATAATTTTTCTATTTTATTAATTTCTTCATGACATCCACATCAACTATATATGCTTTTTTTTTATTTCTGAGTGATATCAATGGAGGAAAATAGTTAAACTTACAATTCTACCCAGGACTCCTAAAAGACTCTAAAGAAGCCACCCCAAAAAATCAAAAGATTCTACCTCTAAACGAGACAAAAGCAGTGCTTTACGCGCCACTCTATGGGCAGCACTGTTGGCGGATCTAGGTACCGCCCTAAACTCTATACAAACATACAAAGAGCTAAGGATATGATCACACTCTCGTAACACCGGACCACCAATCGAGTCTTCTATGACGCCTTGACGAACTTGTTTGACGACCACTTCGGAATCACCTTCGACTATCACGCGGGTCAAGTATCTTGAGGCTACGATGGAGATAGCATCTCTAAAGGCTAGAAACACTGCCAGATAAGGATTGACTATTCCTTAAAGCTGCAGACCAAACGCCAACACCACATGCCCGTCTGACCCACAGAAAACAAGCCCAGACGAACACCCGGTGGCACAAACAGCAGCATCGAAGTTGATCTTCAAAAAGTCTTCTGGCGGAGGAACCCAAGAGGTGGCAGGATGGTTTGGGAGTAGAACTGCGGGGTGGAGGAGGAAGGAGAAGATAGGAGACTTCGAGGACCTGGTTGTAGAACTGGCTGGCTAGGGAACGGACATGAGGTTGGTAAAATTCGAAGGTCACTTTATTTCTAGACTTCCAGATTCTCCAAAGTAAACAGATGCATTGGAGAATGTGGAATGGGGCGGTCTCAGAGACCATGACATCAACTATATATGCTTACTTATTAACATTTTTGGTCAAATTATTCTTTAATGGACATTTATGAAAAGATCAGTAAAATTAATCATTTAGGATAAAGTTCTAAAATATTAAGGCACATAAAAATACCAACTTTTTTTTTACTGAGTTGCCAATCAAACCAGAGAAAATCTTCATTTATCATCCATTGATGGATGGTGCAATCTATGTCTTTATAGCGTTACCGTGGTGCGTGCACGGCTACCATGTATGTAAACCTAATTACCTAGCAATCCCATGAAATGTTAGAATAAAACAATAACCCCAGCCAACGAGGGTTAGCACTCAGCACTATCGTCAGATTAGTTTCCAACTCCTCTCGGTTACTGTAAACAAATTAATTAATGGGATAATTTGTAAGTCATTATTGGTTCCTATATACCCAGACCATATTACACCTATCCCAGCTCCTTTTTTGCTTTATCTACAAGGAAACAAAACCCATTATTGCACTTGAACACCTTTCTCTACAGCATATTCAGATCAAAGTTCTCTCAAGTAAAAAAGCCTTTCTGGTATCTCTGTCAAAAAACAAGACAGCAGGGGGAAAAGAAGCATGGAAGCAAGCCCTCTTCAGCAGGTGACTCAAAGCCCCAGCAGCATTTGCTTTTCTTTAAGCTTGACTCTCAAGTCTTCTTCGCATGGCACCTTGGTACCACCATCTCCCTTCCGCGCTGCAGACCACCACGCCATGAGCTCGTCCTGATGGCGATTCCGATGAACACACATGATAAGTTGAAGGACAAGATTTACCGTGCCATGGAAGTAAATTGGCCGAAATGAGTTGAAATAGGGAGTTGGTTGCTTTTACCTCACGGAAATCCTGGTTGGAAACGTATGGAGCCTCCACTACACATCTGATCCCACCAATATCTACAGGTAGAGAAGTAGTCCTGGACTTTGGTTGTGAACTCTCCCCGTCGGCTACTGGAAGTTTGAAACAATGTTATTCGGTTGGTTCATTCTGACATAAACACAGCAGTGTGGTTTTAGTTAGTCATACCTGCTATACGAGCTACGTGGTACCCGGTTCCCCCAAATCCCGCTTGCCATTTTCCTAGTCTTAGACGAAGGAAAAAGCCATCGAGCCGCTTGAGTGGCACTCCAGTATTCATCCATCTGATGTAGCCCAGGAAACACAGTCATCATTTTTATAATCAAGGACATTAAAAGGATGAACTAAATTGCAGTTTGAGCAGTAGCCTTGCTGACTAACCTGAGAATGTCGGTCCGAGAAAAGCGAAGGCTTTTCACAGCATCAGATATTCCTTTTGGGACACCAAAAATGCCTCCACTGGAAGACTTGAGAAAAGGGTGCACCTGCCTTTCCTTTGATCTGGTTCCTCCCGGGCTTGAAGCGCCTTTGTCTATGCAGTTTAACTCGACCAATCGAGGTTTTTTACTGCTAGTGGTAGCTTCATGAGAAACTTTGTCTACTAGATAATTTGTAGCACAAGCTGTATTCTCACTGGCAACTGGATATCGGCTAGTTGAGGATGGTTCTAATCGCTTTTCATTGTGGTTGTTTCTCCAGTTAAGCTGCAGTTTGACTGCACCACCAAGTTCATTGAGCCGAGGAGTTACACTGGATGGTGCACTAGGGCATGCAACAGCCCAATGGTTCAGCTGAAAGCATCTGATGCAGAAACATGGTGGCTCTTCTCTTCCTTCGTACGAAGTAAAGTTCCTGAAAAGTTCTTCAAGCTCGCCATCGGTCATCTCCAAACAATCTCTCAGATGGTGACCTCTCGCTCCACAGAAGAAACATATTATGGCTGAGTGAGCTTTATCATCCGATGGCATGATCTGTTTTAGGGCGTCCAATCTCCTAGCAAACACGGAGGCCATTGCTTCGGAATTTGTGAACCTCTGGGAAGGAAGGACCGGGTTCCGCTTAATTGAGGACGACTCACCAAGGTGGTGGCTCTTCACTTTGTAGAAACTAAATGAAGCATCAGCACTACTAGAACAAGCCTTTACATGACGCAGACCTTCATCCGACTGCTCATCGCCTTCGATTATTGCACGGGCTGTGGATGAAGTAAGAAGGTTCTGTAAGTGAGACTTGGCTGGCATTCCCTTACGAATTGGAGAACCAGAAGGTTTTGGTATAAACCGCATTATCCATGCACTTGCAAAGGGGTCAACTTTGTCACTGATATTATCAGCAGCGTTTATCCCTGCTCTACCATGAGAGGAATTGGAGCTTCTTCCATTCTGCTCCTTAAAACTTCCTGAACCACCTGAATCTTTTGCTTGAGTTAAGTTATTATTCTCGACCCCATTGCTTGGTGTAGAGCCTTTGAATTTTTCCAAAGATGGGAGAAATGGTTGGAAGACATTACCAGTCACAGGACGACAGGCAATTGGAGTGGCACTAACGTCACACATTTGGCTATCTGGTTTGGTGACTTTTTCAGCTTCCATTTGATGATCCAGATCCACAGAAACATTATCTTGAGCCTTGTGCTTTGGACAGTACAAGGACTGGAAAATGGACTGGAATCCAGCATCTCTGCTGCTGGAATCTCGGCTCCTATTGTTGCATTGGAGAAGATTAGGACCTCCGGAATTACCATTCCCATTATTTTCAGAGTTCGCAACAGTGAGAGTAAGTGAAGGTGCTGTCTCCCCCTGCTGTGTTGTTTTCAAGAGCCCATTATTCACCATGTTTGAAATCCAATTCACGAACGAGCTATCTTGTCTAAGCAATGACGACGATGAACCAGCGGTGTCTTGGACTGGCCTTTTCACTCTTTTACTTCCAAGCATCAACGGTAGGTCAAAGTTCGCCCTCCTCTTCCCTTTGGAAAAGTGGCGAGCACTAGTGCAGCTTTCAATACTTTCATCACTTTCACTTCCATCATCTAACTGCTTCCCATTCACATCTCCATCGGACAAAACTTTGGCCTTGCCTTTCCTTCGGTAGCTTTTGTTTCTGCTATTCGTGGGTGACTGTTTGACTGCTTGTTTCACCTCTCTAGGAAATGACTCATCCTCGTCATCCTGGATTGAGCAATGCTCCAGTCTCGCCACATGTTTACTTTGGCCTAGTAGAGGACTTCCTATATCATTTTCATCCGATGATTCCTCCCTTTCGTGGCCATGAACTTCAGCCTCGACTTCATCTTTTCTCTCGTTCTCCACAAAGTGAGCGGATGCTTCAGGTATTTCCTCCAAGGAGGCTTCAGCTTGCATTCCAGGGCTGCATTCTTTGCAGGTATCCTCACCAGAAGCTAAAACAACTGGTGGTGCCACTAACTTGCTTCCATCAGCGATATTTTCTACTCTCTTACCAGGTTCCTGAGAAGTTTGACCGTGTTGTGCCACATCAGATTCGTGCTCGGCTATTTGGAAAAAATTGGAGAGATGTCAATGCAAAGATATAATTTAGATTCAGCCATCTTTAAAAGTAGCCAAAGTAGCTTTGTCTTACAGACATAACGCAAACTTTTGAAAATGACACCTGTGGCATAAACTTTGCTAAATGACTTTTGTCGTGATCAATATGTGGCATGAACTTTGCCAAAATTGTCATTCATGTATTGTAAGGTATCCTCGCCAAGGGCTAAACTTTTCGAAATGTCAAACAAACACAAACCTAATGGCCACAAATGTCAAGTTGGCAAAGTTCAGGTCTTCGATTGATATAGACCCTAAAATGTCCATGTACTAGTTTGAAAAGAAAGGAATTCAAATGAGCAACTCACTTCTCCAAAGGATAGTTGAGTTTACCTTTTTTGAGGTCGTGAAATGATCCACTCAATGGCATGATCTCCATGCCATTTGGAAGCTGATGCATGTCACCAGCTTCACTCTTTACATTAGCATCCCTTTCCATAGAATTATCTTCTTCTTCCTTCAGAGTCTTGTCAATGCTTGAACCCATTACAATATCTCTAGATCTCGAAACCAACAAATGAGAGGGCTGTCTTCTGCCAAAGAAGCTGCGATCAGCACATTTGATGCTCAATCCTTTCCTTGGGGACCAAACTAGCTCAGACAAGGGGTCAGTCGCTGCTGCAAATGTCATTTCTACATTTGGGCCTGCATTTGTACCTGCACCTGAACCTTCGCCGTTATTCAATCTCCTTTGAATAGAACGATTCGAGTAACTCAGAACAAGTCCCAAGTCGTTCAATGCTATGCTGCTGCTCTCATCAGCGTTCATCTCTCGCAGTACGGAATCCTGAAAACACAAAGAAGATGTTTACTAGAAAAACGTTGGATTTCCCTCTCATTTGACAAACATGAATCTAGCATAATCAACCTCTCCATACACTCCTATCAAGGCATATCATGAAACCAGGATATCTTTTAACAAACAAACAAATGGTCATGCTCATGGTATTGTGAAAGAAACAGGCTTCATGACCATCCACAGCTTCATCAACTTCATCCACACCAATACAAGGCTGTACACATTTAGGGGCCTTGTAAACCTGACCAAATTCAAACCTAGTCAAACGCTGATGCCTAGCAAAATCGTGATCAGGACAAAGATATCGAGCAGCCAGAATTTTTTTAAAAATGGACTATTTTATTCAAATAGTTGTCTGGATAGGCATATAAAAGACTAATTTGACTGCTAGAAGGTAGAGCGCAACTAATAATTAATTCGAGAGCTAATCATTCACAAGCTTAAAGCAAATCAGAAGGCAATCCAGATCAAATCATTTCAAACCCCAAATGCATCCACGAAAGGGAATTGCGCATCACAGTTACAACAGGATGAAACTAACAAAGCTACAAAGAAAGCAATCAACTTTATGAGAATTGAGAGATTACCCAGCAGAGGAGAGTCTGAATTACGGAGACCCACTTACCTATAATCCCTCGAAACCCCGGAAAGTTGCGTTCTTTCTCTCATTCACGACCACAAAAAAAAAAAAAGGCCTCTGATGATAGGAAAGGAGAAAGCCGCGAAAGACCAAGAAGCTCAACAATCAAAAAAGCAATCCGGAAGAGGAGCGGAAAAAGAGGGGAAGGTAGAGTAAACTGCAATTGGAGTATTTATGAAGGTGAAAGGAAAGAGTTTCCGTTTTGGGAAGGGAAGAAGAGAGGGCCGCTGGCAAGCATGCGGTGCTGCTGCGGCAACAGGCGAATGGAATGGAAGGAAGGAAACTCTGAAGCTTGCAAAAAGATAAAAAGAAAGAAAAGCAACAGAGTAGTAAAGAGGGAGATTCTAAAAGGGAAGCAGTATGAGGTGAAGAAGATGCCACGTCGGCGAGTCAGATTGCAACAGTGATCGAGGAGTGATTACTGCTGGCGGCCCCCGGCTGCTACTTTCGTCTGTCCAAAACCCACATTAAAAAACAAACAAAAAATCTTGAAGTTGCTCTGTCCGTTTGGGTGCTCTGAGAAAAATACATCTCTTTTGGACGTTGGTTAAGTTTGGCGACAGACAGTGCCACGTTATTGGGATTTCAATCCCAATTATATTAATCACAAGTATGTGACCATCATGAGTGGAGAGGATATGGAGTTAGGAGTTCCAAGAGATTGGATTAACTGTTGATGATGGAGAAGAGAAACCCTTTGTTATTGAACCTAACAATTATAAAATAATAATGACAATCTTTTTGTCGGACAAGAAGCAGAAGACACTTTTTTATTCATTTGACTTAAAAACAGTTGCAAAACCTGCACTTAAGCTTACTTTATTGGACTGGTGATCCCATTCCCATACTACTAGAGTAATAATAATAGGCTAGTATATTGAGAGAGTGCACCCAGATAATCGATAGTTACATTTCATCTATCTATCTATATCTATACTATATATTATAGCAATTCAAAAGTAACTTCTTGCCACATAAGCACTTGGAGAATTCACAAGTTGCCAAAGTGGACAACTTTTTTTGCAAACAAAAAATTCATTATTGATCTATTTATGGAGCTATCTCTCTCTTCTTTTAAACAAACACACAAAAGTATAATATTTTTGTCAATTAAAAAAATATAATGATGGAAATAGAGAGTGACTATATCGAATTTGTTTAAATAAAAAGTATATGATTAAATCTTATCAAGTAAATTTTCTTACTCATTTTCACCAAAACTTAATAACAAGTTACATTTGGACAAAAACTTAAAAAGTACACATATATAATAATATTTGTATCAATTAAACAAAATATTAAATAAAAATATTGAAAACAAATGATTAAAAAAATACACATATTTAATAATATTTGTATCAATTAAACAAAATATTAAAATAGAAACATTGAAAACAAATTATTAAAAAAGTTCACACACATATAATAAGATTTTTATCAATCGACTTTGAAAATGATATATATGAATTTAGATTTTTTTGTATTAACAACTCTATTATTTCTAATGTATTTTTTTCGTCGAATTATTTCTAATATATATTTTTATCAAATAAAAAAATTCTTATATAGCAAAAGGTCTGAATATAAACTTGACTAAGCAATAATAGTTATTTCTTTAAAAAAACTTCTTATTCATCACGATTAAGTGAAAACATATATTCATGTTCTACCTTCAGTTTCTCAAATTAAGAGGAATCAGGTGTGCAATAATTTATAATTTGTCCTAGGGTTTATATTAAAATATTCACTCTAAATCATATTAATTGAACGATCTCTATCGAGGTCATAAGTCGAATGCTAAGTAATTTCTTTTCATATTTGGAGTTATTGTCGAACATTATTACATCAAAGTTTTCAAAATGACTTAAGTATGATTTTTGACGAGTTTTGACTTCATACATAGGATGAGACACAACATCACTTAAAAAACAACAGGTGTGAAGGTTAAGAAAATCTTCGTTGAGGATATACGATAAACATCACGTTTCATCAACCACTAACCTTAGCATTGATCAAATAAGGGTTGAAAAAATTTATTAAATAGTTGATGTCTTAGTAGACAAATCTAAATTCGAGGATTGAGGCAATAAATAAACATAAGTGTGTTAGTTGAGATATCTAAACAAAAAAAATTGTAGCTACAAGAATCTAAATTGAGGTATTGTGTTAAAATAAAGAATCTTTAATAAGGATGAGTTTAGTAAGACAATTGTAATAAAACATTGGGGTCGTTTGCTTCGTGGATTTGAAAACTGAAAGTTTTAATAAAACTTGGATTTTGTAAAAGCATGGATATATGAGTGTTTGTGGTTCATTATGGATTTGAAAATACCATATTTCGTTTTATAGATTTCATGATGCATTTGGTTAATTGAATTTGTATGCTGAAAGTGAAAATGACATATATTACCCTCATTGGTATGAGAAGGGAAATGAATTATGAGGGGTAGGTTGGTCATAAATAATAGACTTCAAAGTCCATGATCAATTTCCATCTAAAGAGGTGAAATTTTCAAGTCCTTGGGGCCCACGAATTTGGAACCTTAAAATACATGAGACCCACATATTTGTTGCCTCTAAATACATGACGCAAGCAATGGTTGGACAAAGTTCACGATAGCTCCAAATTCATCAAGCAAACAACCCCAGCTATATGGTTATGAGTCTGTGACTCCATACCAAATTTTTGCAATAACAAAAACTTTTTCAATATCGAAGTCTCAAAATGGAAATCTTTTGGTTTGTAACAGTAAGCAATTTGTATTTAGATCGAGTTATCCTAGCCACAAAATTTCGTTTTTCATATTTCAGTCGATGAGCTGAGTTCAAAGGTATTAATCAGGGTTAAAAATTAAAATAAAATCGTTATACAAATTCTTAGATATTAATAGATATGTCTACAATATATTCAAGAATTCAAATGTATGTAAAATGTCACCATGTTTCTACGAGTTATTACATTTTATAAAAAAATTCCAAGAAATCATTACTTAATATTGTAGGAATCTAAAACTAATTTAGTGCCACATCGGTACATGGCTAGCTCTCACCCTTCGACGCTGGACAAGGTCTAATTGGTGTGCTTTTTTGCTTACTCTTTAAATTGTCATCGTTATCAATAAAAAGTAAATTAAGTTAGTAAAAATGAATGCAACATTCTGGTTTGTTCCTATTCCTTTTCCCATACAACATTGAAAATAAAACATAACATTGATAATAAAGAAACTAGATCAAGCCCCACAAAAAATAATAAAGCTCTCTTCTTATTTGCTTTAATTTTGAATTTCTAGAATTTGTCTTCTCTACTTTTTTGTATATAGATATAGGAAAGGAAATGGTTAAGCATATTGAGTTTTTTTTCTCTTTGTAGGAGAATAGGATGCGGGAGTTACATGATGCAATGATTTGTAGGGAAAGAATTGAACAACTCTAACATATTTTTGCCTATTGACGAAGAAAAGTCCAACCTATCATTTCTCCCTCTTCCCTTTTGATCCGCAGCGGGCAATTGATCTTTCTTCCTCGGAGATATCTGACTGCTAGCGGTTCACTGGCCGAGTTATAGTCTTCTTCTCATTCTTTTCTTAATTCTTCCAGATTACGGCGGTCGGATAGTAAATTTCCCTTTTCGATTCAATGGTTGTATTTCTTCTTCATTATTTTGGTAGTTGTTTTATGGTTCTCTGTTATCCTGTATACTTTGATGTAAACATGTAACATATAATTCAAAGGGTTTGTTGCTTGGACTTGGAGCATCTCTCCTTTGGTTGAATAATTGATCATTTTCCTTGGAGGCCTATTGCAACTCGATTCCTTGGATGTTAAAATGGAAAGTAGAGTTGTGAGAGTTGTTCATTATGTTTATTATGTTCATGAGTGACATGTTACTAGCTAGCTATATGACGATGATCTGATCAAGTAAATAGTATGTAGCAGGGGGTTAAACGAAGAAGCGGAAGATTGATGATGTGGATGCCAATGTGGTTTCTCATTCTTCCAAAATTACACGAGTAACTGATATTGCACGATATTTATGGGATCTAGATTGCGATATTCTCTATTATCATATACCAACGTACGAGAAGGGTGAGAAAAAGAAAGCTCTTCACTTTTTTTTATTACTTGAAATATTTTTGCAAATTTTAACTTCTTCTTTTGTGTCCTTCAAAATTTTAACTTCTTTGTCACTTTGTGTGCTAAAAAATTAATAATCTCTTAGTTTATATCTTAAATGGTGGATTCGATACATAATTATAAATCAATATAGAAAGTACTAGAGAGAGCTCATCTAATAAAATTAAATTTTCACAAATAATTGAAACATATAAAAATGTGAAACAATATATGAAATTTGGTAAGTGAGATTTACAATTCAATGTATAATTGTTTAACATAATGAATCATAAATAAAATTATAATACTAGGACGAAAAATATAATAACCAATCAAAATTTGCCGCCCAACGGGCGGGTATAAAGCTAGTTGTTAGAGAAGAGCGACTAATTCATTACTTTATTGTTAGAGGAAAAACCGACTATTTCATTAATGACTTCAAATTCAATTTGAGATTGAGATTGAAACCATCACTAAATCCAATAGAATTGGGGTTCATATATGAAGGCAGTTCTATAGCATGCATCAATTATGTCATTGTGCTTCATATCATCCAACATTTGTGAACAAAAAAAAAAAACAAGTTAGCTTTATTGCTATGTAAAGAGCTAGCTACAAGTAACGACGTCAAGTTTGGAGTGTTGTGTCGGGTGAGCTTGAGAACCGTGACGATATGTTGTAGCTATTGATTATGAAACCATATTGAAAATCAAATGATCAGGGCAAAATCGTTCAAAGTATAGTAGAATTGTAATGTTAAAAAATCGATATAGTTACGGATACCAAGAGTGATCGCATCAAATACAACAAACTGAAGAAATTCATCCATTGTAGTGACTGTTACATCATCTGTGGACAATTATTTGGAGTAAATGAGCTGAAGAAGATTCAGGAATGTAATAACGTGCGTGTCAGCGCAGAGGGACACTAATACATCCAATCAGGTTGAGATTGTTACATATCTAGTTGGAGGGTTAGAACTTATCAGAAAAGACTAAAGAGTCGACTGCAGAATGGGCAAGAGATGTAAAAGTGGACTGCTGGGAACAATAATAAGAACTTGACAGCAGAATAGATGGACGAATGAATGAATGGAGTGGACCAGGTCAAGCAGTGTGTCCAAATGATGAAATGAGAGATGGATGGGGTCGCAAAAGGCTACATCTAGTTAGTTGTATTTAGTAGCTTGCATTTATAGTGACCACCCAAGTTCCCAATCCAGAGA